CAAGACCCTGGGATTATAGGTGTGTGCCATGACACTCTTCTTTTAGAGTGGTCTTGGCTATTCTTTGTTGTTGATCAATTTTATGTAAACTTTTAAATCAGTAATGTGGGGCAGGGGATGAAGCCCAGTGTTAGACTATGTGCTTAGCATAACAAGGACCCAATTTCAATACCCAGCACAAAGGGTGTGGCAGAGAGGGAAAGGAGGAGAAGAGGAAGAGCAGAAGGAAGAGAAGGATCAGTGTGTGCACTTTATTTATTTATTTATTTATTTTAAAAATACTATTGATGTGTATTGAAGAATAACATTGAACTTTATAGCTTAACTTAAAGAACAGGTATTGGCCATGTGTGGTGATGCATCCCAGTGGCAGGAGACTAGAGGCCAGCCTTGGCAACTCAGCAAGATTGTCTCAAAATAAAAAGGGCCTGGGATGTAGCTCAGTGGTAGAGTGCCCCTGTGTTCAATCCCATACCCACCCTTACACACACACAAGCAACAGTATTGGGTTTTGTTTTCTTGTGGCACTGGGAGGATCAAACCCAGGACCTTGAACATACTAGGAAAATGTCCTGCCATAGTCCTAGCCCAGAATCAGGTGATTTCATAATATTGCGCCTCCTTGCCTGAAAGCATTGAGGGCCTTTCTGGTCTAGTCCAGCAATAGTGGGTTTTTTTTGTTTGTTTATTTTTTCCCCGTGCTGGGGATTGAACCCAGGGCCCTGTACTTGCTAGGCAAGTGTTCTACCACCAAGCTACCTCCCCAGCCCTGCAATAGTATTTCTTTTTTTAATATTTATTTTTTAGTTGTAGTTGGATACAGTATTTATTTTTATGTGGTGGTGAGGATCAAGTCCAGGGGCCTCGCATGTGTGAGGCAAGCACTGTACCACTGAGTCACAACCCCAGCCCCACCTGCAGTAGTATTTTAAAGTGGGTTTTCCCCATGTATTTGATATCTTACTATATAGATAGAGGTAGGATTTTTTTTTAAATTTTGTTTTGTTTTGCTTGTTTTTGTGGCCCTGGGAGTTGGATCCAGGGGCATACTACCAATGAGTTAAATCCCCAGCCTTTATTTTTTGAGACAGAGTCTTGCAGTGTTGTCCAGGCTGCCTCAAACTTGTGATCCTCCTGCCACAGCCTCCTGAGTAGCTGGGATTGCACATGTGCATCATTGCACATTTTAACTGTGTGATTATGTAATTATTAGGATTTATTCTGTTTCAAAATGTAGGTTCTAGGCTAGGTATATAGCTCAGTTAGTAGAGTGCTTGCCTTACATGCACAAGGCTCTGGGTCCAATCCCCAGAACCATAGGGGAAAAAATTAAAATTAAAAAAGTTCTCTATTTCCACCATGTCTTCTGATAGTTGTTTGTAAATATACAAGTAATTGAGTTTAGGTAGTAACATTTTACCCTATGAACTTGTTTACTTTTCTTATTGTTTATAGTAGTTTTTCAGGTGACTCTCTTGGAAATTTCCAGTTATTCAGTACTATCATTGTTACTACGGATATTTTTCCTTTCCAATTTGTACTTTTTTTTTTTTTGGACTGGGGATTGAACCCAGGGGTGTTCCACCACTGGGCCACATCCCCAGCCCTATTTTATATTTTATTTAGAGACAGGGTCTCACTGTGTTGCTTAGGGCCTCGCTAAATTGCTGAGGCTGACTTTGAACTTGTGATCCTCCTGCCTCAGCCTCCTGAGTAGCTGGGATTACAGGCATGTGCCACCATACCTGGCTCCAATTTTTAAAATAAACTTTTAGACTTAAAATAGGCTGGTAAATTAGTGGAATTCCTATTGAAAGGAAAGTAAGAAAGCAAGAGACAGGCGAGAGAGAAATGAAGGATGGAGACCAAGCAGAGATCCACACGAAAGTTTATTTGTCAAAGTTGACAAATAAAGGCCATCTCTCTATAAAGGAGAGGCCCTGAGATGTTCCGGTGCTGAGCTTTGTGGGGTAAGGGTTTGGAGTTGTAGCTATGGCGCTATGGGACAGGCTGAGGAGGGGTGCTTGGGTCAGAGCTAGGCGAGTGGGACTAGCATGGGATTGGCTTAGGTGGATGGCACCATGGGGCTTTCTAGAGTCCAGGGGTTGTGTCCTTCTGGGATTGGTATAGGATTGTAGTACCATGGGGTAGGTCACGAATGAGGGTGGGGGGAGTTCAGGTAAGAAGTGTAGATGAACACACAGTATCTTTATTTTTATGTGGTGCTGAGGATCAAACCCAGTGCCTGGAACATGTAAGGCAAGTGCTTTACTACTGAGCTACATCCTTAGCCCCAGGAAAGCGAAACTTGTAAGATGGCAGTTAACATTTAAGATGGCTGCTCAGATGTTAAATCAAGACTGTATAACCATATACCCCACATCCAGTTTCCCTGTTAGCGTCATACATTAAGATGGTGCATTTCATATACTTACTGAACCAATATTGGTATATTAATTAATGTTAATTTTTTATTCAGTTTCTTGGTTAACGTCCTTTCTCTGTTCCAGAGCTTATTACTTGTAGTTATCTTGTCTCCTTAAGCTTCTCTGGGAGTTCCTCAGATCTCTGTATTTTTGGTTTTTTTTTTTTTTTTTAATTTAAAAAAAATTTTTATGTGGTGCTGAGGATTGAACCCAATGCCTCACACATGGCAAGCACTCTACCACTTGAGCCACAACCCCAGTCCATTGTTTTTTGTGTGTGTGTTTTTGTGGTTGAATATGGACACAAGAACTATTTTTATGTGGTGTTAAGGATCAAACCCAGTGCCTCACACATGCTACGTAAGCACTCTGCCACTGAGCTACAGCCCTAGCGCCCCCCCCCCCCATCCTTGTGTTTTGTCCTCAGTTTTGAGAATTACTGGCTGGCATATTATAGAACACCATTTTCTTCCAGTTGCTGTATCTTTGCTTCATCCTTCTATGGTATGGAGTTAGGATCTCCAGGGAGATGTTCTGTGGAAGCAGAGATAGCCAGTTCTTTCCTGTTCTAAGCTGGAATGCCTCTGGGGTACCCTGTTAAGAATTCTGAGCAAAAATAGATGTATTTTATCAAGTTTGATTGAAAAGGGAATTTTGTGGGTTTTTAAATTAATTCTTCTTGATATTACAACTTCCTAGAGAAGCTGAAAATGCAGGCTCACAGTTGTGTTCATACCAAAAGTCTAAATGAAGAAATTGTTAACCCAAAACCTACCTACTGTTTCTGGAATAATTCAGTCAATCCTTGAACTTGGGCACATAAATTTTTATTAGAAATGCAATTGGGGATTTTGGAGATGTAACTAGTGAACTTTGTGTGGTTAAACAGAAACTTGTCGGTGTAGAACATTTAGTTAAGAGATAGGAAACTCGCCTGTTTGAGAAGTAATCGAGCGGCAGTTTTGTGTTCCCCTGATCCTCAGTTTCTTGGAGTAATAAAACCAATTGTGTCAACGTAAAAAGAGGCTTTGAGTATACAAAAGCACTTGGTAGATATTTGATTTTCAGAGAGTTTGGAATCATTGTCAACTTTTAAGAGTAAAAAGTTACATTTCAGAAACGAGTGGAGCATGCTCCTGGTTGGTTTGAACTGAACGGAGCATCACTGATGTGGTTCGTCTGGGCATGACCAAGGGAAGATTTCAGGGCTTGAGCAGGCAAAGCATAAGGGACAAGGTGAACCTGGGGAGCAAGAGTCCAGTTGGGTCAGTTCCCATTTACATGAGGTGCTCACTTGTCCCCACTGTGTTTCCTGTTTTAGGCTGAGATTCCTGGAAACAATGAGATTGAGATTAGCAGGTAGATTTAATGGGGAGTCCTTTTTTGGGAGTAACACCTGTAAGGGCATAAAGGAAATAGGACTGGGCAGTAAGAAGAGAGGGCCAGTGACGTAGTTGCAACAGAGGCCTCAGCTACTCTTATGGGGAGCTCTGGAGTCATGACAGCCCTTTAGAGTTGTCTCAAATTTAAGCAAGGGAGCAAGTACAGGTGTCCCCTCACCATCCAGCTACTGGATATGAACTGCCCCCAGGAAGGACAATTGCTCAGGAGGCAGCTGGTGTCCTGAGGGTTGTCAGCTGCCAGCATCCAGACAGCTAGTAAAGTGTGCTTCAGTAGTGAAAGGGGTGGGGTGGACAGCGCACCCAGCCTCTGTGCAGTCTCAGGGTCTGCCCAGCAAGGCAGGCAGCTGACTCAGCAGCTGTTTGGATCCTGTTTTCTTTGATCTTATCTTTCCCCCCACTTTGATCCTCTCCCTGCTCCCACACATTCCCTGGTACTGTCAGAAGCCTGGTCCCTTTCTCCCAGAACACAGCACCATCCTACCATCCCATGATGTTCCTCAGCTTAGAAGGTCCTTCCTCCCCTCCTTCCACGAAAACCAAAAGCTAACCTGCTATTGGATCATTTTGTCCTCCCCCCCAAAACTTTGACTTATATTTGTCTTGTTTACATGAATCTTGTGTTTTCCACTTATTGGTTTATAAATTTCATGAGCTTACAACTTACTCCTTTATGAAAGCTTTTATTCTCCCCATCACTGAGCATTCTGGTTTAGCACAAAATAGGCATTCAACAGGTGGACACTGATAGCATCAAGTAGTTCCAAGTTGTTACCTTTAGTTTCTTGGGGGGGAAAAAAAATCCCCTTAAAGGCACATCCCAGTGACTTGGGAGGCTGAAGCAGGAGGATTGCAAATTCAAGGACAGTCTTAGCAAAGGCCTGTCTCAAAAATAAAAAGGGGCTGAGAACATAGCACAGTAGTAGAGTTACCTGGGATTAGACCCCTAGGGCTGGAGGTAGAATCTTAAGACCCTTTGGCTCTCCCTCTATTTTTCTCGTGGGAAGGAAATGGAATTTACTTATTTACTAGAATTTGAGCACCAAGTATGGAACAAATATGGTCTGGGCTATTTTAATATTTTTATTAGTTGCTAATGGACCTTTGTTTATATGTGGTGCTGAGTATCAAACCTGGTGCCTCACACATGATAGGCAAGCGCTCTACCACAGAGTAACAATTTTGGTTTTTTATTGAGATTAAAAAAAAATAATAATAAAATTAACATTTTAATATATACAATTCAGTGGCATTTAGTACATTCACAATGTTGAGTAATCATCACCTCTGTCCAGTTTCAGAATGTTTTACATGACTTCACAAGAAAACCCATTTCTATTGCTCTTGATCTGTGCATGACACATCAAGGAAGGGAGGGGCCCGATGTCTGAAGATTTAGTGAAACCCACCTTTGTGCAGAAATGTGGAGGCTTACTTTTGATAGCTCTGTTACTGGATGGGAAGTTACTTTTTGGTGTTCTGAGGGTTATATCTGGATGTCACTTTGAAGTTCCAAATTCCTATCCTCAGGGAACATCCTCCAACTTTCAAACAAGGATAGTTCAGAGCCATGCAGACCACACCTCATCATTGCTTAATATTGTATGTGGCGGGGAAGGAACAGTAAACCCCTTCTGTCAGTCTTTCTCATCTGGTGCCTTAAGTTGCGCCACTGTGATTAAATGAACAAACTTACAAGCTCTGTCAGGAAGGGAGGGGCAGGCTCCAGGGGAGCAGATCCCAAACCCTCTTTCCGTGGCCTGGGTAGCACAGATGCTTTGTGCTAAATATCTTATTTCTCTCTGAATCTAAAATATATCCCATTTTAAAGATGAAGAAGCCAAGGCTAAGGGAGGAGAGTCACATGCTCAGGCTCACAAAGGAATGCAGAGTTAGGATTTGGCAGATCCTAGCATCCCACACTGAGGTTGTTCCAAGGAAACCCTGCCAGGAAGTTGGCCCACCCCTAACTTCTTACCTGTTCTTGTCTCCAAGTGCACTACAACGTGACAGGACTCCTCTCCCTACCCAAACTGAGATGGTAACAGTGAACCCTTTAATCGCCCCTCTCAGTGAGTCCATGACATCTGCAACATGTGACAAAGCAGGGGGGCAGATCAGCAGCTGATTTTTGTCCACATCAGGTCAAACATGGTCCAGAAAATAGGCTCAGTGGAGTAATATATATATATATATATATATGTTTATTTCCAATGAAGGCAAAAAAAAAAAAAACAACAACCTTCAATCTTAAAACCACTTTTCTGAAAATAAAATTTTCTGGCCTGGCAGGCTGTGGCATACCTGTAATTCCAGCAACTTGGGAGACTGAGGCAAGAGGATGGCAAGTTCAAAGTCAGCCTCAGCAAATTTGTGAGGCCCTAAGCAACTTAGTGTGACCCCATCTCAAAATTTAAAAAGGGGCTGGGGATGTGGCTCAGGGGTGGAGCATCTCCTACCCCCATACCCCATAGTTCATCCCCAGTACCAAGGGGTGGGCAGGAATCCAGAGTGAAAATCGGTTTCCTGGAGATGCATTATTTTTAAATGTAACGTTACACATTACATAAGCATTTTAAGTCAGATAATAGCTTAAAAGATTGGATGTTTCTGGAGGGATTGGTGGTCTCCTAGACGTTGAGTCTTTAATTCTGATTAAGGCTATGAATAAGGACACTATTGCAATTTATTTTATTGGTATAAGTTATACATGATTGAAATAACTTATAAGAAATGACTGGGGATGTAGCTTAGTTGGTAGAGTGCTTGCCTTGCATGCACAAGGCCCTGGGTTCAATCCCCGGCACCACTATTAAAAAAAAAAAAAAAAACTTCTGAGCCATCCAAAATTTAAAGATCAGTGCAATACTGGGGTTAAAAACTTCTTTCAGGGCTGGGGATGTGGCTCAAGCGGTAGTGCGCTCGCCTGGCATGCGTGCGGCCTGGGTTCAATATCAACACCACATACAAACAAAGATGTTGTGTCTCCCGAAAACTAACACATAAATATTTTTAAAAATTAAAAAAAAAAACAAAACTTCTTTCATACACCACATCAGCAATAGCTTTTGATTTTTCTTACCTCAACTATTTGCACTTAAGGTAGATTACTGAAATAAGACAGTACTTCCTTAAACTTTGAAGAACATGTTTGTAAACAAGTAAAAGATCTAGATGAATGTTATTTTTTCAGAGCCGGTGATAGAACTCAGGGCCTCACACATGCTAGGCAACCACTCTACCACTGAGTTATGCCTCCAAATCCCTAATTTAAACATCTTGAATATTCATGGTATAATTAAAACATGTCCAAGGCAAATTGAATTTGAACAAATATGTTGGCCTTGTGTTTCAAGTTTAGAAATCAGACCATGCTAATGCCTTCAAATCTTTACATTTGTTAATTGGCAGAGAAAGTTCGGCCTTTGATGAACAAATTATCCTTTACAGTCAAAGTATCAAGATCCACTAATTGTTTCTGTGATCCACCTGACTTCATGGAACATACCATGCTACAGATCTGTTACTAGAAAAACACTACGATAGCATATCAAAACCTTCTTTGTTGTTCCATAAAAGCTAGAAATTAATCAGAGGCACATTTTCCACAGGAGGGAATAGCTGTTTACCCCATCAGTCTGCAGCTCCTTCTGGAGAACCCCATCAGTCGAGGTTAGAGGGAATGAATGTTCTCTTTCAATATTATCCATAACCTCAGTGAAATGTTGGTCAGAATTTGCAGGTTTACTTCTGCTTGAGGCAGGTCTCATGTGAAGAAGAACACTTGGTCCAGGTGAACCCCCGTGGGGCTCAACTTGCTTACTGGGAAGAGGGAAAAGTTGCAAGGTGAGACCTACACTTTCCACTGTGGCTGTAGGCCTTCCTCCTGCTACCTGCTCTCAGGCGACTCTTACTAAAATACAATTTTAAGTAAGCTCTGAAGGTGGGAAGCTTATTGGCTCTGTGTTTTGCATTTTTTTTTTTTTTTTTTTACAGAGCATCACGGAGATCATGATCCATGGTAGACTGTGTGTAAGAGGAGCTGGGGGTGTCGGCAGAGTAAATTTGGAGAAGCCCACAATATTGGCAGAGCATAAAAGGGCCCCTGCAGGTTTTGAAGAGTTGGACAATGTATTTGCGAAATTTCTCCCCCAGAAAAAAGTAGATGACTGGATTAAGGCAACAGTGAACGAAAGCCAGGGTTTCTGTGGCCTGGATGGCGTAGTCCAGATACCTTTCAAAGGTGCAATTCTGAAGGACTTCTAGCTCCACCAGGGTATCCAGGAAAAGCACTATGTTGTAAGGAGTCCAGAACCCAAGAAAGAGCACCACCACAGCAAAGATCATCTTCACCGCCTTGTTCTTCTTTTCATTTTTGCAGTGCTGCAAGGTTCTGATGATCATGGAGTAGCAGAAGAGCATGATCCCCAAGGGGATCACCAACCCAAAGATGTTGATCTCCAGGGAGCTGAGAACCTTCCACGTGGTGGAGTTGACAGAGTACTTGGTTTTGCAGTAAGTGTGGTTGCGCTCGGTATAACAAGTGCTGAACAAAAGGCCAGGGAGGGAGGCGAATACAGCCACTGACCACGTAGCCACACTGGTGATGACCCCATAGGTCAGGGTTCTCGCTCTCAAGGAAAACACTGCATGCACGATTGCCAGATATCTGTCGATGCTCATGAGCATGATGAAGAATATGCCACTGTAAAAGCCCACCAAGTACATCCAGGAAATAATCTTGCATAGACCCAGACCAAAAACCCACTGATCTGCAGCATAGTAGCCCCAGAATGGGAGGGAAAGCACAAAGAGCAGATCCGAGATGGCAAGGTTGAGCAGGTACACATCAGTCATGGACTTGAGCCGCTTGTATTTGAACAGGACTAGAACCACCACGGAATTTCCAAGCAGACCAAACAGAAAGACCAAGGAGTAAAGAGGGGGCAGGAAGAGCTCCCCGAAGGCCTTGACTCCTTCTTTGTTACAAGGCTTGGGGATGCTTTCAAAGAGGTAGTAGTTGTTGTAGATGCTGTCATCCAGGGTAGTGTCTGCTATATCCGTGGGGTTCATTTTCCAAACCTGTGAGGTTCTCAAGGCAGGTCTGGATGCAACAGAAACAGCTAATGATGGGAAGAGAAAACAAAGATTTCTATAAGAAAAAAAAATAAGTCAAAATGGTGCTAAATGTGGAACACAGCTCCTCAGCCTGGGAAGGGTATAAAATGATCTGGGGCAAAGCACTTTGTAGCTAATTCCCCAGAGTGCCCTGCAGGCCAATGAAATAACCCAGGCCTTGACCGTCATAGTTTAGGTTCAAAGGCCAGCTCTGCCACTCACTCATTTTCTTATCCCTCTACTGGAACTCAAGTTTCTTTTTCTAACCCCCACCCCACCCCCGGGGCTTGGTTCCAGAGATTGAACCTAGGCATTTTTAACGACTGAACCACCTCCCCAGCAGTTTTTATGTTTTGAGACAGAGTCTCACGAAATTGCTGAGGCTGGCTTTGAACTCATAATCCTCCTGAGCTGCCAGGATTACAAGTGTACACCATCTCACGTGGCCAATTCTCTCATTTCTAAGTGAGGATAACTTAAGACCCCCTTTTCAAGGAAGTGTATTTTATTTTTTATTGAATTTTTTTGATATTTATTTTTTAGTTTTCGGTGGACACAACATCTTTATTTTATTTTTATGTGGTGCTGAGGATTGAACCCAGCACCCCGCGCATGCCAAGCGAGCGCGCTATCCCTTGAGCCACATCCCCAGCTCAAGGAAGTGTATTTTAAAGATTGTATTTAAGCTGGGGACGTAGCTCAGTGGTACTGTGATTGCCTAGCATGCCTGAGGCCTGGATTCAATTCCCAGCACTGCAACAACAACAAAAGATCCTCAAAGATAGAAAAAGTCCACTAACTCCACTTTCCGGGATGACAAGATCAACTGGGATTCCCCACAGAACTGGACCCAGACCCTTTGACAGAAAAATAAAATCTAAATATGGAGAGCTAAATAGTGTAGTATACCACTACCCCAGCTCCTTGGGGGTCTGAGGCAGGAGAATCATTTGAACCTAAGCATCCAAGATTAGCCTAGGCAACACAGCCAAATCCTGTCTCTAAAACCCAAGCACCCATGAGCTGGAACATGGCTTGGTAATAGAGCGTCTGCCTGGCTTGTGTGAGGCCCTGGGTTTAATCCCCAGCACTGCAAAACAGAACACAACCAAACCAACCTACACAGAAGGGCTGGGCAAATCACTCAGTGGTAGAGCACTTACCTCACATGCATAAGGCACTGGGTTTGATCACTAGCATCACAAAACCACCAAAACCTTATACGAAAGGCCAATATTTCAGTAAGTGCTTATTTCACTAGAAGGAAACCAAGTTGGTCACTTGCCTTTATATAAAAACACTTTGTACTGTATAGACTTCAAAGAATGTTCACCAGTATGGTACAATATATTCCCATATTCCTGTCCCTACTCTACCTCCACCAAAAATCTTATACTCTAAGCTAAGCAAGCTTAATTGATCCATACAGAAGATCTATGAAAGATTCAGAGAGGTCAAACAACTTCTAGAGACCACAGAGCTGAGCGTAGAACTTGCTCTTTAGGCTCCAAGCCCAGTGAGCTGCCAGTAACCCAGGTCTCAGGAAGAGATGGGGAAGGAAAATAACTCTTATTAATTTATTACATTTGCTAGTTTCTGCGGTATACATAGTCCCACTATAGCCAATTCCAAACTACCAATGGGCTCACAAAATTTCCGAACAGGTAACGACAGACTCTTGGGAGCTGGTCCAAGCCAGCTCCAGCAACCCACTGGCAAGACCATTGGCTCTAAAGCACATCTCACCTGGGTACAGACCTGACCTTTGGGCAGCAGGTAGCTACTGTTCGTAAGCCAATTTGACACTAATATAGCAAATGTATTTTGAAGGGCCTTTTGGGAGGCTTCAAGATTCAATCTGAGGGAACTTTTTGTTCTTTTCATCAAGCTACACATAGAAAAAAAAAAAAAATCAGTCTTCTGCACCAAATCTCATTAGAGTGGGAAGGGGCCTGACAGATCTAGAAAAGATACATGATAGCCAGACAGAAACTTTCCACCCCCCCAGTCACCTGTGTCTCCCATCTAAGTTGTCCAAAGAGGTTAAACCCTCCTTCCAGTTACACACATGCCCACCTGTGTATCAATTCACAGACGAAGGGCTTTCCTCACACCCCAACATTCCTTATTGAACCCTTTTGCATTGTTAATTCACTTCCAATGCCTCCCACCACACACCCAAATGCACAAACTGTTTCTCAAAGAGATTTTGGTTTCTTCCTACAGGGGAATGCTAAAGACCTGTGGCATCAAAGATGTGTGTTAAATGAATAATTCTACTCTTTCCCACCCTTTTACCAGTGAAAACTAAAGATCAAAACAAGACTGAGGAGTTAGGAAACTATCAGAAGTATTAAAAAAAAAAAAAGAGCTGGTAAATGTTTGGAATTCTGTAGGCCCATGTGTGTGGTGTTTCTTAATCTTGGAGTCTTGATAGAAAGTTTGTATATTTAATGAAAAATATCTGTTTGTTTAGGATGTGTGGACTTAGGCAAGATGTGCTCAAGGGGAAGAGCCCTACATGTATGGCTACCCGTCAGAAGAGGGTTCCGAAGCGTGGGGACAGGTAGAGAGCATGTAAGTTCCAAGACCGCTGTCTACCCTGAGACACAAATTACCTATATGCCCGGGTGTCTGGGTTGGCCAAGTAGCTGGCCAGGATGCGTTGCTGCCTTCAGGCCACACGTGTCTAGAGAAAAGTGCTTGGCTGGAGGCCCCGGGAATGTCCCCATCCCCACTTACCTTGCTTTTGTGAAAGTGACTCCGAGGACGGTCTGTGAGGCAATGCCAAGCCTGATCAAGCAGCACAGCTCTATGAAGGACGAGTGCCTTTGAAGGATGTGTGGCTTCCTGTGAGCACCGGCTCTATCCCTCACCCATCGATGCTGAGTTCAAGTGGGTTTTTTGTTTTTTTTTTTTTTTTTTTTTTTGCTAGAAGCAGAAAGCAGAGAAAAGTGACTCATTTCCCAAAACTGAAGGTTAGGAAAATTTGCTTTCTTCTGTAAGAGGAGAAAATGGAGAGGAAAGCCAAGTAAGCTTTTTAATTTTAAAAATTTGTCGGAGGGGCTGGGGAGGTCGTTCAGTGATAGAGCTTGCCTCATATGCATGAGGCCCCAGGTTTGATTTCCAGCACTGGGGGAAAAAAAGTTGGAACATGGGGACATAGTTTAGTGCTGGAGCTTCCCTAGCATGCATGAGGCCCAAGATTTAATCCTCACACACCAATTTATTTATTGGCTTTTTGGGGAGGTGAGGTGGGGTTTAACCAGGGTTTGAACCCAGGGGCACTTAATCATTGAGCCTTATCCCCAAGCCATTTTGATCTTTTATTTTAAGACTAAGTTGCTGAACTTGCTATCCTCTTGCCTCAGACTCCGGAGTATCTGGGATTACAGGTGTGCCCTCCCCACTATTTGTTGACTTTTTTAATGTAAAAGGATTTTTTTTTCCTTCTAACTGGCTTATATGCTGTAGAATGTTCCTTCTGTTTTGGGTCATTAGGCTGATAGTTTTTTCCTCTTCATGAATACACAAGGGCAGGTACTCAAGATGTATGATATTCTCTAAACAAGTGGGATCTGAACCAGACTGAGAAGGCCAGGAAAACTCTAGGAAAAAGATATTCCAGAATAGAGAAAAATTTGTCCAAATGAGGGTGTCTATTTGTCCAAATCTTCCCTGACTTGGACAATTTTAGCCAACCACATTCTTAGATTCAATTATTTGTCTTCAAAGTTGTGTCAGTTGAACTTTCAAGTCCCTTCTGCTTGGAAACTGTGCCGTTTCACTGACTGATTAAATGAAAATAGCTGAGCCTGATATGTTGCCCTGCCATTACTGGACTCCCAAGAAATATCTGGGTGAGTCCCATCAATTTCTGTGTGTTTAGATTCAAAGTAGGTTTCTAGCCAGGCAAGGTAGTGCATACCTGTAATCCTAACAACTTGGGAGTCAAGGAAGGAGGATCACAAGTTCTGAGGCCAGTGTCAACCAATTAGTGAGGCCCTATCCAACTTAGTGAGACTCTGTCTCAAAAAAGTATTGAGGATGAAGCTCAGTGATAAAGCGCCCCTGGGTTCAATTCCAAGTACAAAAAGGCAAGTTTACAGACCCAGCTATCCCACTCCTTGGTTTATACCTAAATGACTTAAAAACAGCACACTACAGAGACAGCCATATCAATGTTTATAGCAGCACAATTGCTAAATTGTGGAACCAACCCAGATACCTTTCAGTAGATGAATGGATAGGTAAACTTTGGTATATATACACAATGGAACATTACTCAGCATTTACAAGAGAATAAAATCATGGCATTTGCAGGTAAATGGATGGAGAATATAATGGTACGTGAAGCAAGCCAATCCCAAAAAACCAAAGGCCAAAATAAAATGTTTTCTTTGATATGAGGATCCTGGGGAGGAATGGAGGGCAAGGGGGTAGGAATGAGTTAGACATCATTAACCTAAGTGCATGTATAAAGGTACCACTTTGTGTACAATCAGTGACTTGAAAAATTGTGCTCTATATGTGTAATATGAAATGAACTGCATTCTGCCCTCATGCATCACACAGTAGAATAAATAATTTAATAAAAAAGACAAGTTTAGAAATTGTAGAGGTTACTTCTGTGTAGAAAATTGGTCTTCAAAAGTAAACACCCTCCCTCAAAAAAAAGGTATTAAGTTTTTAAGTAACATCTATTTCATACATGAGGAAGCAAACTCAAGAGAGGAAAGGTGGTATGCCATGACATCACACCAGTCAGAGACACAGCTGGGCCAACACCCGCACTCCTGACATCACGTTCTATTGGGCTTCATTTCAGAAACCTGAGCAGAACAAGACTCAGTGTAAACCCTGCCCCAAACTATGATCCACAGCACCTGTTGCCCAACATGAGACCACAGCGACCCCTGGTGACCAGGCTTATTGCAACACCAAGACATCTGGTAAATTCCCTAGCCAACATGTACTAGACCAACATCTCTGAAATTGAAGCCAGAAACTCCCAAAGCTTTCAGGAAGAATCTCATAAGACTCTGCTGTAGAGTACCGTGTTAAAATGAGAGAAATGCGCCAGGCAGAGCTACACAGGATGGTACCCAGGGACAATGAGACAGTAAACAGAGTTTACAGTCAGCTCATGTATGGCAGGCGAGGTTAGTTGGGTTACAAGGGCCTTCCATCCATTGGCTAATCTAATAATTTTGTGGGCTCAAAATTAACCACATGGCCCCAGGGACTTCAAGTTAGCACACAGTGGCCTCTGGTTATGAGAACCTAATAAGTGGAGGGGTTGGGTGTGTGGACTAAGCTGCTCTAAAAGGGAAACATTACAGCCAGACATGGTGGTAAATACCTAATCCCAGCAACTCTGGAGGCTGAGATAGGAGGCATGAAGTTCAAAGCCAGCCTCAGCAATTGGACTGGGGATGTAACTTAGTGGTAAACAATCCTTGAGGTTCAAGCACCAGTTTAAAAAGAGTAGGGGGAAGCAGAGAGGGGTAGGCTACAAACCAAGACTACAAAACTGATTCATCTGAGTAAAGAGAACTTTGGTAAGGAAATAAAATATTGCAAATAGTTTTTGGAAAGATAACACATTTTCATGTAAACCTGTATGTCCAAGAAGATTAAGAAAAACAGAAAACCTGTAACTGATTAATACTACTTACCAGAGTTGTGCTGAGCATCTAAAGTTCTCAGAGAATAATTTAGACCTTAAGTGTTTATATTAGAAAAGAAGAAAGGCTAAAAGTTAGGGAGAAGGGTGTTTGACTGGAAAAGGAGGCAAGAGAAAAATAACAGGGGACAAACCATGGGGGTCATAAGAAAGAATATAAGAGCAGAAATTAAACAAGTTCAAAGGAAAAGAGACCCATTAAAATATTTGAAAACACAAATAAAACTGACAGACCTGTAAGGAAGTTAAAGGGGGGAAAAAACAACAATTTTAGAATGCAAAGGGAGATATGCAATTTTAAAAAAATATTATGAACTTTATCACAATAAAAGGTAGATAAATCTTACCAAAACTGGCTCAAAAAATATATATAAAATCTGATGATTTTTAACATCATCCAGTAGTTTAAATGCTTGACACAAGAGCAGATTCATACACACTCAAAAAAAGGTTCCACGAATTCTAAGTATCCAAGGTATCTACGGTTTTAATCTCAGGCATCTTCCCTCCCCTTCTGAAATAAAAAAAAAATACTCTAAACTCATTTGTTCAGTTAGTACTATAATTTTGATAACAAAACTAGACAAAGTAGGAAAAACATAAAATTGTTCAATTTCACTCATGAATATATAGGGCAAATATCCTATATGAAATGTTAACCCATAATGAACAAGTTAGTGCATTTCAGAAAAGCAAAGTTGATTTAATACTAGAACATCTAATTTATGCCTATCACCACATTAACAGAGAAAAGCCATGTGTCATAGAAAGAGCCCTGAATAAGAAAAAAAAAAATCTATCATTTGTGACAATATAGATGAACCTGAAAGACACAGATAAGTGAAATAAACCAGGCACAGAAAGACATACTATGAGGAGTCTAAAAAACGCAACTCAAAGAAGCAGAGAGTAGAAAAGTGATTACCAGGGCTTGGAAGAGGGAGGAAGGACTGGGGAACGTTGGTCAAAGGCTACAAATTTCAGTTGGGGGGAAATAAGTGTAAGATGTCTACAGTGCAATATGTTGACAAATATATACTTGAAAATTGCTAAGAGATTTAAGTGTTCTCAACACACTTCAAAAAACTATGAAGTAGTTAATGCATACGTAAATTAGCATGATTAAACCTTTACACCATGTATACCATAAATATATATAATCTTTATTAAAAAAAACAACAGTATTGGTAATTTAGGTGGTGGTAGGATGGGAAGTCAGCTTCCTAAGCACAAAAAAGAAATTTTACTTTAGAAGGTAACTTTTTAAAAATGCTAAAAATCCAACAAACCTGCTATCCAATTGTAAACAGCAAAAGTCATTCCTTTAAAAATTAGGACCATGGCTGGGCGTGGTAACACATGCCTATGATCTAGCAGCTGGGGAGGTTGAGGCAGGAGAATTGCAAGTTCAAAGCCAGCCTCAGCAAAAGCAAGGCGCTAAGCAATGCAGCAAGACCCTGTCTCCAAAGAAAATACAAAATAGGGCTGGAAATGTGGCTGAGTGGTTGAGAACTCGAGTTCAATCCCTAGTACCCCTCACCAAAAAAAAAAATATTAGGACCATGACTGTGATGCCCACCACCAATTCTATTATAGCCAGTAGGAAAATATAAGAGTTAAGAAGATATAATGAATTCAACAAATTAAACAAAAATCAGATATACTTAACAGTGAACAAAGCCTTTTTAAAATTTTCATTTAAAATAACAGAACAAAAAGCTTAAAAATAAAAGGAGATGAAAGGCTTGTATTCTGAAAACTACAAAATGTTGTTGGAAGAAATAAAAGTTACAAGTAAATGAGGAAATGACCCATGCTTACAGACTGGAAGATTTAGTATAGTATTACCCAAAGTGATCTAAAGATTCAGTGGCATCCCTACCACAATCTCAACATCACTTTTTCCACAAATAGAAAAATCCATCTTAAAATTCATATAAAATCTCAAGGGGCCTGCAGAGCCAAAACAATCTTGACCTATACTTCCTGGTTTCAAAACTTATTACAAAAAGCCATGTTAATCCAAATAATGTGAAACTGGCACAAACACAGACACAGAAATGGAATACTCAGAAACCCTCACAAGTATGGTCAAATCTCTTTTTGCATTGTCTTTATTTCATCCCATTCCCTCTGTATAGTAATGATGTCACTTAGTACATTCTCTGGGGGATGTGGTCAAATTAGCTTTGAGAAGGGTGCCAAGATTATTCAATAGGGAAAAGACAAGTCTTTCAATAAATGGTGTTAAGAAAACTGGAGCTCCAAACGCAAAAGAATAAAGTTGAATGCTTACCTTACACAAATAACAGCTAAACTATAAAACTTGGGGAAAGAAATATAAGGGAAAAAGCTTCATGCTAATGAATTTCACAATGATTTCTTGTACCAAAAGTACAGATAACAAAAGGAAAAACAGATGAACTGAACTGCATCAAAATTTAAAATTTCACCACATGGTGGCGCTCACCTGCAACTGAGTGGTAGGGCTCTTGTGGAGCATGCAAGAGGCCCTGGGTTCAATCCCCAGTGACACTAGAAAGAAAAGGACAAAGACTTTTTGATTTGGTGAATTTTAACCAGGTTGAGTTTTTTAAGAGAGAATGAGAGAGAGAGAGAGAGAGAGACAATTTTTTTAATATTTTTTAGTTTTTGGGCGGACACAACATCTTTCTTTTTATGTGGTGCTGAGGATCGAACCCGGGTCGCACGCATGCCAGGCGAGCGTGCTACCGCTTGAGCCACATCCCCAGCCTCCAGGTTGCGTTTTCAAGAAAATTTTTTAATAAACAGCCAGGTGCGGTGGCACGCACTTCTAATCCCAGTGGCTTGGGAGGCTGAGGCAGGAGGAATGCAAGTTCAAAGCCAGCAGCAGCAACTTGGTGAGATCCTAAGCAACTTAGCAAGTAAAAATATCTGGGGAGGTGGCTCAGTGGTTAAGTGCCACTGGGTTCAATCCCTCGTGCCAATTTTTTTTTTTTTTAAAGTTTCTGTGCATAAAAGGATATGATCAAAAAAGTGAAAAGGTGGGTTGGGGTTGTAGCTCAGTGGTAGAGCGCTTGCCTCACATGTGCGAGGCCTTGGGTTCGATCCTCAGCACCACATAAAAATAAATAAAAATAAAGATTTTTTTAAAAAGTGAAAAGGCAATCTGCAGAACGGGGGTAAATATTTGCAAATCATATCTGATAAGTGGTTAATATGCAAAATATTTAAAGAAACCCTACAACAAGAAAGACAACCTGATATAAGAATAAAATAAAGTATCCAGAAATGAACTTCAGCAACTAGTCCAAAAACAGATTGAAGCATTTTATCACATTCTAGTCTCCAGATTGAAACCTACTGTGTGAAATTCAGAATTTTTTAGTCCCCCTTGGGAACCTGAAATGGAAAGAACTGCTCTCTCCATACCTGCTAACATCAAAATGTTCCATCACCTAAGGTTAGTCCTTCAGAACATATCCTTTGTACCACTGCCCACTCCATGCCCACCTGATTCACATGCAGACCACTGAATCCCATTCCATAATAACCAATTCCCTCTTTCTGCCTTTCAGTGTGCCCTGACAGACTCTTCCTCCTTCCTGAACCCATTTCAATATTCAGCACAAATGTGTATATTTCAAGAGTATAATCAATAGGCTGGGAATGTAACTCAGTGGTCGAGGGCTTGCTTACATGTATAAGGCCCTGGGTTCCATCCCCAACAACAACAAAATAGATTATAGCATTGTAACACTGCTATATTGTACATGAAGGGACAATGGGGAATAGGCACCACAGGGATTTTTAATATAGAGATTTAGCCAGGCGAGCCGGTGAACACCTGTAATCCCAGTGGCTCAAGAGGCTGAGGCAGGAGGATTTCAATTTCAAAGCCAGCCTAAGCAACTTAGCGAAGCACTAAGCAACTCACAGTTACACTCTGTCTCTAAATAATATACAAAAAGGACTGGGGATATGGCTCAGTGGTTAAATGCCCCTGAGTTCAATCCCTGGTGCCAAAAGAGAGAAAGGGAAGGGGGAGGGAAGGAGGGAGGGAGAGAGAGAAGCTTAGTTGTCATACTATCAAGAAGGTGATATGAAGAGTTCTGAGGGAGCTGGCAAGAAATTTTGTTCCTGCAGCTCTGAGACTCCTTGGTGGGACCTGTGGAGGCAATAAGTACCATGGTGATTGGCAGACAGACTATAGAGGAACATCATCATCTGTGGCTGCCTTCCCCCACCCCCCAGGGTGAAAGGAGGAGAAAAACCTATCAGAAAATAATGGTGCCACCTTGAACAAAATAACAGGCATGTCCCACCACGCTACTCAGCTAAGATATATTTCTTTGATTCTCTTGGTTTACCCGATAGGGAACAGAAGAAGAAATGTCATTAACTACTGTTGACAAATGATTCCTCTTGCATATAGTTAATTGAGAAGTGGGACCAATTTGGTCAAGGTTCAGTCAAGCTGAATTTTAAGAAAATGTGAAGTTTTCTACATTTCATTACACAATGTCAAAATCTCACTGTATACTTTTCTGTTACTGCTGTAACAAATTGCCACAAACTCAGAGGATTAAACAACATCTGTTTCCATGCATTTTCCAGCTTGCTGAGACCACCAACCTTCCACAGTCTGTGGGCTCTTCCAGATTCCGTCAGCACTGCAGCTTCTTCTCTCCCCTGGCATCAAAATGTTCCATCGCCTACCTTCATTTTATTAAAAAAACCCTGTGGGTGACATCTGGCCCACCCAGATCATCCAGGATGATTTCCCTTTCTCCAAGTCCTTAATTTAGTAATTTCTGCAAATTCCTTTTGAATGTAAAGCAGCACATTCACAGGTTCTGGAGATAAGGACATGGACATCTTTATGGGCTCCAATCCTGTATCACATCACATTGAGCAATATTACCACTGACACCAGAAAACTCTTACTCAAAAATTATTATATTCATACTAACAGATGCAAGTTCTCCAAGATTGTAATTTTTGCTTGAAAGCTCAGTGGGTTTTATTTTGTTTTGTTTTGTTGTTGTTGTTAACCAAGGATTGAACCCAGGGATGCTTAACCACTGAACCACATTCCCGGTAGAGACTGGGTCTCACTGAGTTGCTCAGCACCTCACTTTTTGCTGAAGCTGGCTTTGAACTAGCGATTCTCCTGTCTCAGCCTCCCAAACCACTGGGATTACAGGCATATGCCAACACGCCAGGTGAATGCTCAGTTTTTATCATTGGCAATAGTCAATGGTTTCACTTAAAATGACAAGCTTGCTTCATTGATTTTCAATATCTATTGAATAAAATTGTGGTTATTTCATGTAAGATGAAAATTCCATAAGAATTCAAGGGTAGAGATAACAAATTTTTGTTTTTACTAAGATTATTAAGTAAAATTGGTACTAGGAGAACAGAGCAAAAAAGAGTTAACATTTTTGAGTACAATTTGAAGGCACTGAATTAATTTGTCCAAAGATCCCAGCATTTTTGGCCTGCAACTGCTTTTGCATCCTCAGAACAAAGACAAAGAGTGAAGAACAAAGTTATAGTGTCAGTATGAATATTAATTTGATATCAGATCCCCTGGAAAGAGTGGCAAAGACCTACCACCTCCTACCCTCACCAGGGGTCTATGAGCCATATCACACCTTGAAAATTGCTATTTACAGAAATAAAACCTGCCAGCAGATGGCAGTAGGTACAGTAGCATTTCCCAATTTGCATTAACCATTATTTAGGAAAGTGATTTCATTAAAAAGGAATTTAAATTTTTGCCTTAAAGTTCAAAGATAGCATCTCTTTGCAGAAATTAAACTAGACCAAATAAATCCATGAAACAGGTGCTACTTCAGCTTACAACTCAATGACCCAACAACTTTAAGTACTACAGGCCTCTCACTTTGTCACGCAGAACACAAAAAATAGTACATAGCCTTGGTACAGGAACTCTGCCATTTTACTAAATAGTGCAAAATTCAAAAAAGTGTTCTGCCAACTAAAATTACTCTAAAATTGAAGCATTTCCCTTAAAGAATCATGTACAGAGTTTAATAAAACATTTTTTCAATTAAATGTTATTCAGTCTTTTTCTTTATTAAAACATCAGGGTACTGAGAAATAGCTTAAAGAAATTTTAATGAGACCATCTACATATTGTCATCAGGCTTCTTGATTGACGCCTTTTTTTTTTTTTTAATAGAGAAAAGGTAAAGAATTTTATTTCTAAAACAGTATATTGATGAATATCATCGATGATTCTAGAAGGCAACCAGGGGAAATGAAATTTTCATGTAGGAGCGCTGGTCATAGCTTAACTTTTTTAACTTTTAGTCAAACAATATGAACAGTTTAAATTTGAAGCATATATTTGTCAAATTGTTCTGCGAAATGGTTGTTCCAATTTATATTTCAAAACAGAACTTTTCTGTGCCTATGTGAGGATTCAATTATTCAACAAAATTTTCTAAACATCTGCATATCTAGCACCATGCTGATCTTAAGGTGAATGTAAATTGCCTAGTGGCACTGGTTTCCTAATCCAGGGGAAGAGTCAGTCAAAGGTATATGGACACCATTAACATGTACTATGTAAAGTAAGATTTTAACAATTGGATAGTAAAATGAGATAAGGTTAATATAAAGCATAACATTGAATAAGTGAGATATGAGATACGGTTCTGTAAGAGAACAGAAATCCCACCTGGCTCTTGTTCAAGTAAAAGAGATCTAGGAAGAGTTGCTCTGTGTCTGCTATATTTGCAAAACGAAGAAAACATGACAAGTACTGACTGGCAAAGCAAACCAGACACTGGGGCCAGAGGCAAGGACTGGAGAAGGGGTGTGTTAGGAGTCCGCCCGGCTCCAAAGACTAACTTCCCCATCCCCGGAGAAGAGCAGTCCAATGGTGAGCCCTGCTAGCTCACATGATCCTTACCCACCAATCAGACTAGCCCTGCTGGCTCACGTGATCCTTACCCACCAATCAGACTAGCCCTGCTGGCTCACATGATCCTTATCCACCAATCAGAAAGCACCCCATGCCAACTGTCAAACCCTTCAACCATTAAACTGTCATAACTGTAAAACCACACCCGGCTCTATAAATATGCAGAGCTGTTCCTTGGTAAACGGGCATTTTCTCTGAGGACGAGCCTTGTTCTTTCTTTCAGGGTAGACAACCTGTTCCAGAATGTAATGTTTAGAGCGGGACATTAATGGTTAACCAAAGTTAGTCAGAAGCTTAAGTCATCATAGGCATCAGCACCTTCTGAAATCAAGAGCCAACCCCATAATCTCATCAATCCTCTCACACTGAATGTTAGGCTGTCACTTAGGAATATCTCTGGGATGGTCAACTCCCACCTTCTAGTTTCCTTTCGAGTTCCTGATGGGTTTTCTTCTGCCCTAAGGCCAGGCTTCCCTTTCCTACACGCTCATGGGGCTGCAGAGCAGTCTTTCTTAGAGCTTAACAATGACAATATGAAAATCCTGCCAATCCACTTTGTATTCAAGGAACTATATACAAACGGAATGAAGGGGGTGGGGGGTGGGGTTCTTGGAGCTGAGGTTGGCTGGCCCCATGGATTTTTTTTCCCCCCAAAGGGAGATGCCATCAACTCATGGCTAGGTCCCTTCACCATCCTGAAATAGGATCTTCCCATGGCCACATAACCAAGACACCTGTTTGTGCCCAACAGAGCTGAAAAGAAATATGGTGGCAGGCTGTTAAGGGTAGCCTCTGCTCTGAAGTTGCAATTGGGGTGTGTCTGTGCACCCTCCCAGCCAAATGCAAACAGGGAAAGAAAGGACACTTCTGCCTCTGAGTGGCTAGCTTCAAGGTACAAGGCAAATGAGTGGCAGAAGCCAGTCACCACTGTGTGGGTTGACTTCAATTTCACAGGTCCTCAAGGCCCAGGCAATGAGGTAATCACGTAAAAGTTACTTGCCTGGAGTTGCCAGCTTTGCAGGATTCACTGGGACATGAGCCTAGTGGTCCATGAGAGCCACTGGGACATCTAGAGCTGTCTCCCTTGCACCCTGTCAGGGCTCAGCCAGCACAACGAACTACAGAGTCTGAACTCATGTCATGCTCTCAGCCATAAAAGCCCTTACTGCTTTCCTTTCGTAGCTGACTCCAGGTCTTCCTCAAAGACCAGTTCGTCGCCATCTTCTCCTCTAAGTCACCTCTAACCTGGGCTTTAGCCTGAAGTCATCCTGCATGGAGACTGCTCCATTGTCACCACCCAAAGTGGAACCAGAATTGCACCATAATGACTTGCCAGGGCTTTGGAGTCAAGAGCCCAAACTTCATTCACAGTCAGGTTCTGCAACCTCCAGGCTGTGTAACCCCAAGGAAGGAACTTAAACTGTCTGAAATCACCTTTCTCGTCTTTAAAAAGATGGGAAAGCCTCCATCTGAGATACTGGGAAAATTGAACCGTAATGAGGTAAACACTGCACAGGGATGAGGAAATAGGCATTTCTAGATTTATGGCAGTCCCAGATTGCGCTGGTAGAACTGGAATGACCAGATGGAAGCAGTACTGGGGACTGAACATAGGGGTTCAATGTACTGAGCTATGTGTCCCCAACCCTTTTTATTTCTTGAGATGTCATCTTGCTGAGACAAACCTGGCACTTGCCATCTTCCTGTCTCAAACTTGGAGTTGGATTATTTGCAGCATTTAAGAGACCAGTGAGGAAGCCCTTGTCCACTGTGACACAGCCACCAGGGGTCAGTGATGGTTCTCAGTCTATCCAACGAACATCATTAAACACTAACTCCTGTGTGAATTCCTGCGGGTGAGGTGGTTGTCCCATTACCAACACCTTGAGCAACACAATATACCTTTCCTCAACACGGGGAGCCGCCATTGTGAAGCTGGCTCCAGTGGGTCTGGGTTCCCAATGAGCCACTCAGTGAGGTCCTTTTCCATCCAGGACTTATTTCTCATCAGGACCCTGCATAGCAGCCATGTCTTCCCACATGGTCTTTCCTGAGGGATACATGCCACAATCTGGGTGAGAAAGCAGTTCTCCTTTGATTGACCAGAGCCCAAACTCAGAAAGGTTGTGAGCACCATCAGGCCCTCTCTGACCTTGAGCAAATTACTGAACCATTTAAAGAAGGAACTGTTCAATTTTCCTACCTCTATGTCTGCTGTAGGGCACGAATACCCCAGTATCACCACCCTGATTTAGAAGAGCCTGAGTGCGTCCTACACTATCTTCACAGCTCTCCTTGGTAGGATTAAATCCAAGTTACCTCCTCTGGTACTCTTCTCAATATTGTACTTTTGTTTGTCCTCCCTCCTCCCTGCCAAGGTCTCTGCTCTCTTGCAGCCCCACCCCCACCCCAAACTAAGTTTCACAGAGATTCTCGTGGAGTGGTCTGGTTATAGGAATACAGACTACATCTTAAGTAGACAGAATTCCATTGCAGGATGAGGAGGACAGTGGAACTCAAGACAGCTAGCAGAGAGGCTGGCCCATGTGAGGTCCCAGATGCCATGATCCCTTGATGCGAGTGGACCAGGAGGAGAGAAGAGCATTGCAGAGGACATTAGGAAGGAATGGGGATGTCTGCTACTCGGGGGAATCAGTCAAACTTTATAGCACTTGCCCAGCTTCTCGGCCAGTGGCGGACAGCAATTCAAACTTGGGTCTGCCATGTAGTGACAGAACCCAGGAAGAAAAAGGCAATGGAAAGCGAGGCCAGGAGAACAGAGGTAGAGAGGGCAACTGCTGCAGTCACCGACACATTAACAGAGAAGCACTCATTAGAGTGAAAATAAAGGAAAGGAGGTCACGACGGGGTCACTTCAGGAGAATGATTTTTAGCGAGACTGGAAACTGGGAACTCAGGATGAGATCCATGGACAGGGAGCCTAGCACACTCAACAACACCTGGCAGGCAGAGGCATTCAAGACATCTGTTTGGATTTGGGGGTGTCATTCAATGGTAGATGCTTGCCTGATGTGTGCAACGTCCTGGGTTTCATCACCAGCACTAGGGGGGAAAAATCTACAGCAGACAATGAGTAAAGTGAAGAAAGGAAAACAAAAAAGCATAAGTGGTTGAAATTATGTTGCTTATTAAATTCTCAACACCTTGCCTAAGTCTGTTCATCTATTCTTCAAATGTATTGAGTGTTTATGATGGACACGGTTTTAAGCAATGGGAACACAGAAAGAGTGATTGAGCTCAACGGAGAAGGAAGTAGTTATTTTAAAAGGGATTGTTCAGTTTGATCGTGTTGAGTTTGGTGGTACAATTTTTCCTGTAATCCCAGCAACTCCGGAGGCTGAGGCAGGAGGATAGCAAGCTCAAGTCCAGCGACTTAGTGAGACCCTATCTCAAAAAATAAAAAGGACTGGAATGTAGCTCAATGATAGAGCATCCAGGGTTCAATAACCAGTGTAGTGCCAAGGAGGAAAAAGGGGGTGGGTGGGGGCACCTACACTGTCCTATCCTAACTCCACAAATGGCCCCGCCCATTAAGCAGTGGTTATGTTGCAGCGTGGAAGGTGGAGCAATGAGTGGGTCTGGAATCCCCACAGAGCCTATTATTACTTAGATCCTGCTGGAATTGACTGGCAAGCAAGCTTGATGTGCCCCTCTTGCATGAAGGCAAAGAATATAGTGTGTTCTCTTCTCATTCCCATCACAGACCTTAAAGTTGGGGGGCACATTCCTAACTTCAGTTCCCAAACTTCAAGAGGATCTCTCTATACTCCAGGAGTATTTCTGTTCCTGTCGCCCTTACCCCATCTTGCCAAGCGCTCATCCTAGTGCCAGCCCCAGATAACCAGTGATTCCTCTGGCAGAAGGTGGTCCATGTTGTTCTTGCAATCTCCTTGTATAGCAGATCTCCTAGTATGAAAAGTTAAAAAAAAAAAAAAAATCAGATTAATACTAGTTAGATTGGTCCAGGGAAAATAGAATATAGCCAGTGTAATATTACCAGAAACAGAACTCTGTAAGCATTTGACAGTCATTTCAAAAACATGTTAGGAATGGCTGGCCATAAAGGTTGCCATGATCTGCCAGGCACACCCTCTATCATCTATAA